TCCATGAGGCCGGTAAAGCATTCCTCGTATTTTCTCATGAAAATACTACATACCTACATATGTTCATAAGAAACAAGTAGGCACAAATGCGACGGGTCTTCAAGCTTTATCATAAAAAAGCTCAACCCTCCCAGCAGCTGGCCTTCCATCCATAACGAGTGAACATCATTATAGTCATCATCACCGTTTTATCATAAACATTCCGCTCGCATATCCTTGCGAAAGCTTCTGAAAAATAACACTCCAATGAAATATTCGGAGCACGTTTTTACTCGACAGGAAACATGTAACAAAGAGGTAACGAAGAAAGGGCTCTATTCAACTGGTACCTTTACTTTCGATTTAAATTGCGCATTGTTTCAATTTGGCACTTTGGGCTAGTACAGTTCAGCTAAATAGATGGCTGCATTTCCGTATCCTAGCTACGTCATTGCAATTTACTGAATATTCGGACATGAATAGCAAGGGCGCAATAAGACAGATAGATAGGCACAACTTTTGTTGGTTTATGAAAAACACCGCCAGTCTCAGTGGGGGTTACTTCCCAGATGTGTGTTGCTTGAAACTCCATACTTACAACTCTACCGCCAGGCCAACCAAACCGTTCCTAAATATTCCAGAAACACAACCATACTATGATCATATACATATCGTTACATGGTTCATTAAAAAAAGTATCTCCCGCTGGTGCCGCTATGTCTTTAGAAAGCAATTTTATCGTCGTGGAAAGTGGGAAGATCATCAGAGGGAAGACCGTCCTTGAATGGCGGCAGTATAACAATTGGGACGGGTAGGTGGAGCTTGTGATACAGTCGCTCTGAATTTTCACACTGTTGAATTTAATTTCACTCGCTCATTCGCTGGCGGATGTAGGCTATGAGGCCTTTGCCACGGTAACGGCGGCGACGACGGAGCTAATATGAGGCATTCATGTGAAGGAAGTGGAGGATATCTGCTCCTTACCTGGAATGCTTGGCTCTCGAAGGAATTCCGCATGACTGCTAGAGTTGGAAAGTAGTTTATTTGTTGCCGCATGCTTTCCACTCGTTTGAAATAACGTGCTAAGAAGATCCAGTTTTTTCCAATGATTATTTCTTAGCTCGGGGAATTTTCTCTTTCCTAAAGTGGATAATACGTAATGGGATATTCGCTTTAATGCTCAGTTGGGTCGGTGGGAGATATGATTCTGTAAACTTCATGATGGGCATTTAATTGCTAAGGTGTGATGTTTTATTATTATTGCTAAAACACATCGAGTACCGCTTTAAATTAGTGTTCAAGTAGAACGTGTAGTAACGCCCATTTGCATTATCTATTATAATTTTTGTTTGCTTGATATACTCCAACTCGATTGTATTCAGGTTACTTCTATCGCTTTTCCACCCGATTCGCTTAAGAGTTGCGATAAAAAGTTATTTTTTTTACTAAAAGTTGATGTTTTAAGATTTTTGTCAATTTTGTCCATTGTTGTCAGAAACGTTAGCATTCTTGACAAGATTTTAAATAAACATAAGTTGAAAAATGATTTTTTTAGATAGTTGCCTACAACTTTGCGTCAGATGTCATTGAGATAAGATGCGCTGTTTTTGTGTTATAATTTAACGCCTATAGCAAATAGTTGGGCAAGGTTTAATGGAATTTTGAAATTCGGTTATTTTTTGGTGGTTGTTTGACGACTGGGTTCAAATTTGGGTCAGACTTGAACATGCTCAGTAGAACTGAAGTTCTACTTTTCCAAGATCTTTTAAACTGTTATTAAGACTGCCAGAGCCGAGAAACAGTTGTACCCAAAGTTTATTTTTAGGCTTAACTTATTTGGCGGGGATTTCTGCTCAGGGGAGAAAGCTGTTACAACTACCTGGTGATAGGATGATCCAGAGGATGTCTGTAAACGATGCGAATGGTCAGTTGCTTAGACACCACGGACAAGCTGAAACGTTGGATTGAGCATTTTGAACAACTTTCTCTTACTTTAACGACCAACCAACCATCAATATCACGGCAGGATCCGCCAAGGGTACGGCATCACTCACGTCAGCTCCGAGGCTTCATTATTGCAGGAGATAGAAGCAGCTTTACTGTGTGCCAATTGGCGAGGCAGCAACGGCTGCAGACAGGATTCCGTGCCGGAAGATCTTGTATGGATCAAATTGTCACGCTCCGTTCCATCCGATCAACTTAATCACAAGTATCTCTGAGGCACAAGAAAGTCCCGGAAAAAATCATCAACCTCATCGAAGCACAATACGAGGACTGATTGATTGAGATGAGTCAACCCAGTGTTTCCACATTCTTTTCCAATTTCAATCTGTATTTCACCGTAAAAAATCTTTTTAATCTGTAAATAACTGACACAAATCAGTCAAATAATGTGTATAATTTCTTAATTATGATCTTAGTGTGGATCTTCGTAAACCTCCATTGAGTTCATTCAAAGTTCAGAAAATGATTGTTCATAGTTTAGAATCTTTAAAAATGATTTGAGTTTTCTTTATCTATTTATCTATCTCTATCTATTTAAAAGATGGCAAAATCCTGAATCAGGATTTTTTTTAGTGAATTGTATCTTTTCTAAAATCAAGTCTCAGTAGTGACACTTGACTATAAGACCGTCGTACTTTTTTTTTATTAATTACTTTATTTGTACAGGCTCAATCGAATAAACTTTACAGAGCCGAGTTATCATTTTTGTTATACATTATTGATTTCTTATATTTAAAGTTAAAGGAGCTGGACCGGATACTCGCGGTTGTCTCGAGGTTAGTGGGGATTTACAATTTTTTTTGGATGGGAAAAGGGAGAGGGAGGTTTGAAATGTGGTTTACGATACAAATATTTAATTAATCCTAAAACATGAACTAATTTCTATTCATCTTGAAAACAAACATAAAAAAAACCCACACGTACAAAATACAAACTAAACACAAGGTTAATAAAACTTACAATCTAATGTTAATATTCTTAAAGTAAACATATATGAGTTTCATAAACTCCAGATCGCGTCTAGCCAAAATATCCCGAACTGGAACATTAGGTTGTCTACCTCGAGCCCGAAGGGAATCGTACAGTTCAGATCTGATTCCGCGATGCTCAGCACAAGACCAAATAATGTGATCTGCGTCCTGGTAACCTTGTCCACATTCACAGAGATTGCTGTCCTTCAGCCCAACACGGAACAAGTGAGCGTTTAACGAATAGTGATTGGACATGAGGCGAGACATCATACGAATGAAGTCTCGACCCACATCCAACCCCTTGAACCAAGAACTCTTCGACACCTTAGGGATGATCGAATATAGCCATCGTCCCAAACTCCCTTCACTCCACTTATTCTGCCAGCTGACGAGTGACTGTTGACGATAAATGAAGAAAAATTCATCGTAGGCGATTTGTCGATCGTAAATATCGCCTTCCATAGCGCCCACCTTAGCAAGTGAGTCAGCCATCTCATTGCCCGGAATCGAGCAATGAGATGGGACCCATGCAAAGGTGATGACAAAAGATCTTAAAGATAAAGCACTTAAAAGCTCTCGTATTTTCATGAGAAAATGAAATTCGGCGCTATGAAATTCGTTAAAAATACCAAAACCAGCGGACTCCTCTATTAGTGATCCATCTGTGAAGAACGATCTTGCGGAATCAACTTGGCCAAACTTTGCAGCGTAAATTGACGGAACAATCATGGAACAAGACCGTCTTACTTGATGCTCATCAAATTCCCTATTCAAAACACACTGGTTGATGCGCTCGGTTTCAGGCTGATCATGCACATTAGACAATTTATCATTTATATTGCACATTGGCTATCTAGTTTTTCAAGTTGTTATCCTTGTAAATCATTTTGATTTGGAAATTTTGTGCAGTGGGGACTTGACAAGAGTGCCATTTATTAAGTAACACCATTAGTGGCGCCGGTGGTGTAGTGGTAAGCGTGATTACCTCTCACCCCAGCAGGCCTGGGTTCAATCCCAGTCGGCGCCGCCGGGATGTTCTGAGGCATGACATCTCTGATCACGCCTTCCTTTAATTTTTTTTATATGGTTATCCTAGTCGAATGTCATATGCTACTGTAAGCAATAAATTAAATGTTCTTCTCAATTAAAAGATCATAATATGCTATGGTGATTTTTTGCACATGCAAGTAACAAGAATAGATTGTAAAGTATGGGTTTGACAATTAATCATAATGTCGAGCAGTTTTGGGACGACCTTCTACCAGCGATTTTACGGAAATGAAACAATCAATTTCAGATTTTTCAAGCATTTTACAAATAAGACCCTAATTTCTCGAGGTTGTAGAAGAAAAAATATTAAAATATTGTTCCACGTTAAAGTTCGAGTGGTAGGAAACGTCATTTTAAACTGCTCGAATGATGTGATCCATTGAAATATTTCAATTTCGCTTTCAGAGTGCTCACTTAGAAATAACAAATTTTACACGTTACGGAATCCATCTTTGACATAAAAAATGAGACGTAAACAAACAGGTCATATAATATTAAGTGCTCCGAGACTGAAAAGTTCGTTGCTCGACAAAAAGTACGTTTGATTAAGCTATATTTCGCGTCTATTTTGACTCAATTTTATGTCAAAATTGACGCTCGTATATGTCACTCTCAGAGCACCTAAATTTACATGAATTTTTCTAAGTGTGTGTCACAACCAGCGATTTTATGATTCATGAGCGCTCATTCTAAGGGAACACTCATGAATCATAATATCGCTGGTTGTGACTCTTTGAAAGCGAGATTGACTGGTATTATTTGTCAAACATATACTCTACAATCTCATCTTGTATAATATAAGAACATTACGTTACAATACATCATTACAACATCTAATGATTCCATATTTCCGAAAAACACTTTTTCAAGCGAAGTGAGTCCAAGCAACCCTGATTGGAATCATCATTAGCTATTTAATTAAGATGTTTCAACATAAAATGATTTGGAAAATGTAAATAAATATAAATAAATGTATCGTTCCAAAGTTGTACTCACTTTAGAACACGGTGAGCCAGCCACCTTCGGTATTGCCAAAGGATCTTCAAAGCTGGCAGGATCATCCAGGTTGACCTCCCACGCGATGCTGTGTCGTTTACTCGGGGTTACCGGAGCCGATAACGACGGAGGTGGCGGAACTGTTGGTGGCCCGGGCGGAGGTGGCAGGGAAGACTCTTCCAGTGAATCGTCGGAGAACCTTTCCTCATCGCTGTCATCGTGCGGCCGTTGCCGAGCATAATTGGCGCTGGTGGCAAATATCCGATTGCTGATTAGATTATTGTTGTAGTTGATGTTGAGTTGGACACCGTGGGTTGGCGAAAGCGATGAGTTGTTCTCGAATTCGTTATTTTCCGGTGACGAATTTTCCTGCGATGACGAGTTATCCGAGTTGTAAGCGCCTTTGCGGCATAAGTCTCGGTGTCGTTCAATGGAACTTTGTAAGTTTCGCGATGTCCGCCTCGTTGGTGATGCTCTGCCGGGGTAGATGGTTACTGGGTGTTCGTTGACTATGGGTTCTGAAATGCAGTCGATCAATATCGCAGATGAGAGAATGTGGACACATTTAAATCCTTTTATTGAGTATTTTTAATCGGTAAAGCCTTTTTCATAATCACAAGCATTTCGCAAATATTTTTTAATAAGAGGCAAAGTCGTCTACTTAAACAATGACATCCGTAAATTTCTCGAAAAAAAATCCATTTTATCAATATGGTCAGATAGAGGGATACAATGCCGTTGGTGATTCACTTGGGAGAGTATTCATTAAAAGGTATTCACAAAGCGTTTCGTCAAAGCGTACATTTCCATTACGCTCCAATGTACACAGTATTTTTAGGATAGTGAATGTTTACGATGCGCATAGTGAATATCCCTATTATTTACTTTTTACTTTTTGCGACTTAGGCCCTATAAAGATCGCTTTCGATTTATTCAGCAAAACACAAACACACACACACACGTGTCCGTACACGCACACCGTTTTAACCATAGTGATTTTTGGCGACACATACCTGGCAACCGCGTCATCCCCCGTAGGACGGCATCGTGCACCTCGTTGATTCCTATTCCGCCGAGTTTATTCCGACCATCGTCCAAACTTCCTCCACTCGGTTCACTTGGTCCGGTGTATTTGGGCGGGCTGGAGCATGGAAGACTTGCGTATCTTGTGGGTAAAACGTTGGAGGGTCGTGTTTTTGGCTGTAACGAAGCAGAGCGAAAAATGGAAAACAAATCAGTACAAAACGCGTAAACCCATTAAGATCTGTCTGATGAAAATTATGAGACGCTACCGCATTCTCCGATTTTCGCAGAAATTTATTCATTTATGCTAGGAAGCTACATAAAATAGGGCAAAGAACTTTTATTTTCTTTGATTTATTAAATGGTTTTTAGCTAATAGACCTCCAGCTCCACATACTTTCCAATCGAGTAAATCTTATAAGCATGGTCGTAATAGTTCTGTCCGCGTTTTTTAATAGCGAGATCAAATTTTGTTACTTTACACTATAGTGCACTGACTGGTCCTACATTAGATTCGTTTCCCTAGATAAGTTTTGAATTTATGCATCTATGCTTGTGGAAGAAATTAATCTCTGATATTTTATCGATGTCATTTGGCGCTATCCTCAAACTACATAGACAGTTTAGGGGGTTGGCGAGTGTATACGATCGAATTATTGAATTAGGAAACATCTGCCTAAAGGTAACTCAGTGAAGAGTGTAACATTTTGCACTTGCTTCATAAATCCTGTAGAGAAATCCAAATGGAAAAATCCAAATGTCACCTGTTCTGCCACTGTCAAGGGACCTAGTCACCTTCCTCGATTAGTGATCGAACGATTGTGTAAAATTCATCACTTTGAAAACGATGGGATCGGAAGTGAGCCATGCGTTGGAGCCTTGGGACCGCTAAAAATAAAATACAACATGCAACATGGTAAACCACCAAGGATACGTAGGCGACAATCAATTCCAATACGCTATGTTTGGAATACATTTATTGACTGGCTGTATACATAGGCAGTGACCGTTTCCAGTATTCAGATAGAAAATTTGTTATCTGTTGTAGGTGTACGAAAATTGATATTTGTACATGCGTGACATTTTTATTTTTAGCTAAACAGACAAAGTTCACCAGAGTTCCATCAGACTGTTGCTTTCCGTGTGCTTACATACGTGTGCTAACACCATTATCCGCCGGATGGGAGATATGGTCCATAAAAATATCATTTTACGGCTGATATAAAGTTTTCATTTGTACCCATATAACAAGGACTGTGTACTCCGGTCTTATGAACCTGATGGTAACGTAAAGATGTGTGAGTAAGAAGGAAGCTGCCGTAATGAATTTGAGGCAATATGCGAAAAGGTAATTTTGTGTTAATGTTGAACATTTACTTAAAGCCGTTAGTCAAAAAGTCGTATTCCTGAGCTATAATTGTAATAATGCAATTATATGAACCAAGATTCATCCTAGGGTGGAGTACTGCTTCATTATACGGGACCAATTTCCGTCGTACATCCCAAAGACAATGAAGACAATATTAGCTGCATCCAATATTTATGCATCAAATTCTTTGCTCACGAGTTAAATTAATACTGATGTAAAATAATTTGTGCTAAAATAAGCTTACCATTTCGATTACAATTGGATATAATTAACTTTCGTTACAGAATTTTTAAACTACGTAGCGCTAGTATACATGTGAAATTTTCGCATGTTTACTACGCGACCCTAGTATACCTCAAGATATATCACATGCGAGAATTTCACATGTACACTAGCACTACGTAGTGAGAAAGTTCTTAACTAATGTCCACTATTGAAAAGGTTATGATCTTCTGAACAACTTTTCCCGAGACAGTAACTTTCTATCTGGTCAGGATCTCGAGATATTCTATGTTGTAACCAATTAAGTCAAATCCCACGTAGTATGGACACCGTTTCCGCGGTTTCCATCAGTGATGGGCAAAACACCGGTACAGCACCGGTACGGATTTCTAAGTCATAACCAATGTGCTGATCTGTTGTACCGAGTGTTTGGTGCAGCTGTCGGTTCGGTTTGGTAGTTGCAAGCAAGCAAGCCAATTCCTTCGCTACCAATATTGTCTATCAAAATATTTGAAAATTGAATTAACAACTGTCGCTTGGTAAAAATATTTATTCACCTATTTGGGAGCACTGCTATTTAATTATTGCCAATGTTCTGAACCAAGAACGGTATACCCGGTTTTGGTTACATATAATAGCACCATGCACACGGTTCAGATCTCGTGAACCAAAACCAAAATTCTAGCACACCGGTTTTCGGTTTTCAAGCTGCGGTTTTGAACATCAACTCGAAAACCGGCAGTGGGTTTTGATTTAGAACACACTGCACAGTGGTCTAGAATGCAGTTTTAGGTGGAATGATATGTTTTGAGCCTGAAACTGAAACTTTAGACTAAAAGTCTCTTCTACAAAGTTGTTCCTTATAGTTAGGCCCTCATTTTTATGACAAAGAATTCTAGGGTGGTTCTTATTATCATTAAAATGAAAAATCTAACTTTTTTGTTTGAATAAATTAAGGTATACATTGTTCGGCAAAGTTATAGCTGAGCTAATTTTAAGTAACTTTGTTGAGAATAACTTTTTTGTATCTCTTAAATTGGCCGATTTAAAGCTATTTTCTTGAATTGAGTTAGGGTGGCTCTTAGAAAAACAGTTGTTTTGCTATAGTTTTCTTTTTTCGAAATTCTCAGCAAAGGTGTCTTGAAATAACTTTTAGATCTTAAGAAGGCGCAAATTTTTGCTCCAAAAAGTTTGTCAATATCTTTCGCCGATCAAGAGTTATTGACGTTTTTATACTAAAAATATGCACTTTTCAAATGTTAATATCTCTGGTTGGGGCAAACAAAAAAAAGTTTTTTTACGGCATTTGAAAGGGCATATGTTATTCTCAATAATATGAAAAAATGGAGGTATGTTGTTTTTTAAACTCGAATAAAATCAATTTGAATTTATTCATATTTTTTACTATATTTGAGTATATCTTTTTTATTAGAAGAGATACAGGCAACAAATTCAGCTATAAAACATTCGATACAAAGATCAGATCAGATCAGATACAAAAAACTTATTCTCAACAAAGTTGCTTGAATTAGCTTAGCTATAACTTTGCCCAAGAATGTATACCTTAATTTATTCAAACAAAAAAGTTACATTTTTGATTTTAATGATAATAGGAACCACCCTAGAATTCATTGTCATAAAAATGAGGGCCTAACTATAAGGAACAACTTTGTAGAAAAGACTTTTAGTCTAAAGTTTCAATTTCAGGATCAAAACATATCATTCCACCTAAATCTGCATTCTGGACCACTGTGCATTGGTACACGAAAACATGTCACTGAAGTTATCCAGTACCATACCATCCAGCATGTACTAATTTGTAGTACAGGAAGCCATCCAGTACCATACCATCCAGAATGCATCATAAATCAACTATTGCATACTTCACGGCGTAAATGGAGCAATTGTGCTAAATTAACTTTTAAATCAAAATTTACAACCATTAATGATATTACATATAATTTAACAATGTATGGTGGGAAAACCAGTGACAAACCATTCCAGTTCTTCACCTAGAATATTCTAGAATATCTGAACAAGACATTTAAACATTAAGACATCTTGGCTAATTGTTTTTAAATTGTTTGATTGAATTTTTTTACTTCAAAGAGGAGTTCTTCAAAGAAATTTGAACATTTTTCTACAAATACTTGCTGGATGGGAATACTGAGTCAAATATAAGTAAAGTGATTTATTCAGAGTATTCAGTAATATCTTAAGAAGACATTTGTATACTTAAACATCATGGCTAATTGTTTTGTGAAATAGTTTGATTGATTTATTTTTACTTCAAAGAGGAGTTCTTCAAGGAAATTAAAAAAAAAAGTCTACAAATACTTGCTGGATGGGAATACTGAGTCAAATATAAGTAAAGTGATTTATTCAGAATATTCAGCAATATCTTAAGAAGACATTTGCATACTTAAACATCATGGCTAATTGTTTTGAAATTGTTTGATTGATTTTTTTTACTTCAAAGAGGAGTTCTTCAAAGAAATTTTCATATTATTTTACAAATACTTGCTGGATGGGAATACTGAGTCAAATATAATTAAAGTGATTTATTCAGAGTATTCAGTAATATCTTAAGAAGACATTTGTATACTTAAACATCATGGCTAATTGTTTTGAAATTGTCTGATTGATTTATTTTTACTTCAAAGAGGAGTTCTTCAAGGAAATTTAAAAATTTTTCTACAAATACTTGCTGGATGGGAATACTGAGCCAAATATAAGTAAAGTGATTTATTCAGAGTATTCAGCAATATCTTAAGAAGACATTTGCATACTTAAACATCATGGCTAATTGTTTTGAAATAGTTTGATTGTTTTATTTTTACTTCAAAGAGGAGTTCTTCATGGAAATTTAAAAAAAAATTCTACAAATACTTGCTGGATGGGAATACTGAGTCAAATATAAGTAAAGTGATTGATTCAGAATATTCAGCAATATCTTAAGAAGACATTTGCATACTTAAACATCATGGCTAATTGTTTTGAAATTGTTTGATTGATTTTTTTTACTTCAAAGAGGAGTTCTTCAAAGAAATTTTCATATTATTTTACAAATACTTGCTGGATGGGAATACTGAGTCAAATATAATTAAAGTGATTTATTCAGAGTATTCAGTTATATCTTAAGAAGACATTTGTATGCTTAAACATCATGGCTAATTGTTTTGAAATTGTTTGATTGATTTTTTTTACTTCAAAGAGGAGTTCTTCAAAGAAATTTTCATATTATTTTACAAATACTTGCTGGATGGGAATACTGAGTCAAATATAATTAAAGTGATTTATTCAGAGTATTCAGTTATATCTTAAGAAGACATTTGTATACTTAAACATCATGGCTAATTGTTTTGAAATAGTTTGATTGATTTATTTTTACTTCAAAGAGGAGTTCTTCAAAGAAATTTGAAAAATTTTCTACAAATACTTGCTGGATGGGAATACTGAGTCAAATATAATTAAAGTGATTTATTCAGAGTATTCAGCAATATCGTAAGAAGACATTTGCATACTTCAACATAAATCAATCAGACAATTTCAAAACAATTAGCCATGATGTTTAAGTATGCAAATG